GGGGCCCTCAATAAATGGTTAATAATTGTATAGACTTCGGGATCGGTCGTTTAGCAAATTTCACGGCCTTACCCAAAATAATGATACGCTAGTCGCTTTAGGCGCGCCTTTAACAATTTATTTTCTTAAACTCGGGTGCACATTTATGTGACCCAAATCCAAATCTCAACAGATTCAAAATATGTCGATAACCACGGGTACATTGATGTGACGTGGTTCGAGATATATTTTCACGATGTTGCAATTCCTGATAAAAACAATAATAATGATAAAAGCGGTTAAAAGTTAAAATTCGCACATATTTTCAACATGTATTATATCAGATAATCAAGCCGAATATGACAGTTGAGCGACCGTCCTAGAACCATGGAACTCGAGAATGCCTAACACCTTCTCCCGGGTTAACAGAATTCCTTATCCAGATTTCTGGTGCGCAGACTGTTAACAGAGTCAATATTTTCCTCGATTCGGGATTCAACCGGTGACTTGGGACACCATAAATCTCCAAAGTGACGACTCTGAAATAAATAAATAATTTCCATTTCGATTGTCCTTAAATTGGAAAAAGTCTCTTTAGCGCCCCTTCGCGGGCGGCGCGGGCGAAAAAGGAGGTGTGACAGCTCTGGCGACTCTGCTGGGGAACGAACCCAGAACCACTGGTTCAGGGTTAGAAATTCGAGCTTAGAATAATTGTTGTATTTGGCTTTATCATGTGATTGAGCTTAAATGTGCAAAATGATGTTTTTTACCGCTTTGATATTATTTGAAATGTACATATAAACTGTGTCGAAAACTTCTTTTCTCACCTCCGGGGATGTGCTTACTGGTTGAGACTCTCTAGTCTGTTAGTGTCATACCCTGAAATAAAAGAGGCTCGAAAAGTTTCTAAGCCGGCAGGCCTTTTGGTTCCCGGAAATGAGCTCCTTCCTCAACTTGAGTTGTCCGCTCAGGTACACTGTCTAGAACATATACCCAGGTTGAACCTAGAATAACTTGACTTCATGCCGGATCCCTAGTAAGAACGTTTATTTGCATCATGTTGCATTTGACTTAGGGGACTAAATATCTGCTGGGAAGGTAACCCAGAATCTCTGGTTCAGGGTTCAAGAATTCAAGCTTAGAATAGTTGTTATTATTTGGCTTCATTTATTATCTGATTTTATTACATGTTTTAGCCTAAATGTGCAAAATGTTGCTCTTACCGCTTTGATATTATCTGAACTGTATATATAAATTGCTACGAAATCCCTCACTTCTCTCTCTTGAGGAGTGCACGCTGGTCGTGACTTCTTTCTGTTAGTGTCCTATCCCAAAATAGAACGAGGATTCGGAGGAGTTGCAAAACCGGATGATCTTTTGGTTACTGGTACGCAGTTCCCATCCTCGGCTCGAGTTGTCCGCTCGGGTAAGCCAGGTCTAGAACAAACACCCAGGATAAACCTAGAATAACTTAACCTCATGTCGGATCCCTAGTAGGAACGTTTATTTGCATCATGTTGCATTTGACTTAGGGGACTCAACAAAGGGGTTGGGTCCGTCCAGAACAAGCAACCTGAAATGAAAAAAGAACATCCTGCTGCATCATGTTTGTTTTGCACATGCATTTGTTTCAGATCTGCATGCTGACCGGCCTCTGAAATCGGGAATTTGTGAAAAATTGTGAAAAATAGAAAAAGAAAAATAACAGTGTAGGGAGATAACTACTTATTTTTAGAAAAATAAAACCAATGTCCAAGT